TTACATCAGTGCTTGCAGTTCCTATGCGTTCCAGTTGCAGAAAAAAAAGTAGAACAGGCTGTATTTTGTTTGCACAGAACTGTATTGGAATGCAGCAAAATGCATGAAAAACGCACCTGAATGCACTGGAATGCACATGTCCCTATTTAAATTGAAGAAAAAGAGAGGGGAAAAAATGAACTGGAATGCATAAAAACCGCACTGGAACACATCAAAAACGCATATAAAATGCACCGAAACGTGTCAAACATGTGTCAAAAACGCGTATGCAAAAACGCATCCAGAATGCATGTCCCTATTTAAATTGAAAATAAAAGAGGCGAATAAATGAACTGAAATACATAAAAAACGCACTGGAACATGTCAAAAACGCATAAAAAATGCACCGAAACATGCCAAAAATGTGTCAAAAACGCGCATGTAAAAACGCATCCAGAACGCATGTCCCTATTTAAATTGAAGAAAAAGAGAGGGGAATAAATGAACTGGAATACATAAAAACCGCACTGCAATGTGTCAAAAACACATAAAAAATGCACTGAAACACGCCAAAAACGTGTAAAAAAACGTGCAAGCAAAAACGCATCCGGAACGCATCTGGACTGCTTTCATATAGTGTGAACCAGACCTAACTTTTTTTAAATACTGGGTAAAAATTTGACCGATAGGCAATACATTTTTTTTTTCTGAATTTTGGGATTTTTTGTGTTTTGGAGAGTGGCTAAAAACTTCCATAAATAATTCCACAATAAAAAAAAATTAGAAAATAAAAAGATTCTCAGAGTTTTCCAAACTTTATTTATTTTTTTTGTAACAATCCCGCAGATCTACTCCCATATTTTCTCATTTCCTCGTTGCTGCCCCTCACGCCACCACAGTCAGCATGAACACTTGTGTCCTCCTGAAAAGTGATACCCACCCTGGAACGTATATACGCTTGAAATACAAGTTCATTGAGAAATAGACAGAATTTTCTTCAGGTTTTGTGGCGACACTGAGCTGCTCGATTCAGTTCCAGATCAGTGTTCTATATTGGGAAGCCGGGAGATATAAACACATAGCAGGTGACACGATATATAAAAAAAAAAAAATAAATGGATCGTCCATATGGCCGCTGGTCTTCGCGTACTGGTGGTATCTTGTATCTCACAGTGGTCAACAGAAGTAAAATTACAGCATCGACACATTTACAGCTGAGAGCCTTTAATATTAATCTCCAAATATAGAGAGCCAATAATGCTGCTCTAGCAGATCTCACTATATAAAAGTATTAGCAAGGCACAGACCCACTTATCCTTCACTGGCTCTGCATCTAGAGGTAAGGCGGTCCCTGTGTCTGTGTAACATCCCATCCCAGCTCAGCACTGCACTGTATACAGCATCCTGTCTGCTGAGTTCATATTCATCTCCATTCACAAGCAAAACTCCTTCTATTGTTCATTCTCATATAGGGAATCATTTAGATTTTTTTTTTTTTTTTTTTTTTTTTTTTTTTTAGTCAAACTGTTGTAGCTTGATAAAAGAAGCCAAAATTCTTAATTAAGAGTAAAAAACAAATGTTGAATAAGGATCTAATATTTTTTCACTGGAAAATTGGAAAATGCTTAGCAGACTTCCAGAAGAGGATAAACTTAGATTTATACTGAAAAAAAAATATTTTTAAATGTTAAAAAAAAAAAAGAAAAAGTAGAGTTTCTTCCTGGGATAAACATAAATTTATACTATACTATACTATATATCTAAGAATATATATAAAAAAAGGCCAGGCTCTTTGACCTTGTTTTATGTTTTAATGCTTCTATAAAACAAATATTTTTAGAACCGACAATTAATATAATTATATCTTGTTATTCCAACCCTGATAGTCAAAATATTTTTTTTTTATTACATAGTTGGTCTGGCTGAAAAAAGACAAAGTCCATCCAGTTCAACCATTAAAAAAAAAAAAGTAGTTTCTTCCTGGGATAAACATAAATCTATCCTATCCTATCCTATACTATCCTATCCTATCCTATCCTATGCAATGCTATGCTATGCTATCCTATCCTATCCTATCCTATGCTATCCTATCCTATGCTATCCTATCCTATACTATCCTATCCTATCCTATCCTATGCTATCCTATCCTATGCTATACTATGCTATACTATCCTATACTATGCTATCCTATCCTATACTATGCTATCCTATCCTATCCTATGCATGCTATGCTATGCTATGCTATGCTATGCTATGCTATCCTATCCTATCCTATCCTATCCTATGCTATGCTATGCTATCCTATCCTATGCTAGCCTATCCTATCCTATACTATCCTATCCTATCCTATGCTATCCTATCCTATCCTATGCTATCCTATCCTATCCTATCCTATACTATCCTATCCTATCCTATACTCTCCTAGCCTATCCTATCCTATACTATCCTATCCTATCCTACCCTATGCTATCCTATCCTGTCCTATCCTATCCTATACTATCCTATCCTATGCTATGCTATCCTATCCTATCCTATACTATCTATAGATCTAAAAATATTAAAAAAAAGACAGGCTTTTTGACCTTGTTTTATGTTTTAATGCTTCTATAAAACAAAATATTTTTATAACCAACAATTAATATAATTATATCTTGTTATTCCAACCCTTAAAAAAAAACGCAGCGGTTTGAATTTTAATCTGAGACTGATAGTCAAAATAATTTTTTTTTATTACATAGTTAGTCTGGCTGAAAAAAGACAAAGTCCATCCAGTTCAACCATTAAAAAAAAAAAAAAAGTAGAGTTTCTTCCTGGGATAAACATAAATCTATCCTATCCTATCCTATCCTATCCTATACTATGCTATACTATATACTATCCTATCCTATAGATCTAAAAATATAAAAAAAAAGGCCAGGCTCTTTGACCTTGTTTTATGTTTTTTTAATGCTTCTATAAAACAAATATTTTTATAACTGACAATTAATATAATTATATCTTGTTATTCCAACCCTTAAAAAAGGTAGCGATTTGAATTTTAATCTGAGACTGATAGTCAAAATATTTTTTTTTTATTACATAGTTAGTCTGGCTGAAAAAAAACAAAGTCCATCCAGTTCAACCATTAAAAAAAAAAAAAAAAGGAGAGTTTCTTCCTGGGATAAACATAAATCTATCCTATCCTATTCTATCCTATCCTATCCTATACTATCTATAGATCTAAAACTATATAAAAAAAAGACCAGGCTCTTTGACCTTGTTTAATGTTTAATGCTTCTATAAAACAAATATTTTTATAACCGACAATTAATATAATTATATCTTGTTGCTATTCCAACCCTTAAAAAAGGTAGCGATTTGAATTTTAATTTGAGACTGATGGTCAAAATATATTTTTTTTAATTACATAGTTAGTCTGGCTGAAAAAAGACAAAAGTCCATCCAGTTCAAGCATTAAAAAAAAAAGGTATAATCCTACACCCACAGTTGATCCAGAGGAAGGCAAAAAAGAAACAGCGAAGCATAAACGAATTTGCTCCGGCAGGGAAAAAAAATCCTTCCTGATCCCCAAGAGGCAATTGGATACCCTGGATCAACTTTACCTATAAATTATAAATTAATATTATTAAATTTAAAAAAAAGGTTATGGTAAGCTACAAAATAAATACAATGACACTTTTGTTACATATCATTTTATTTATAATGGCTATATACAGTATATTGTAACTAGTGACCTAAGCTTGAAAACACAATATCTGGGTATATTAAAATTCAGTATTTAAAAATGATCTGGTTAAATAATTAGAGAAGCAGCAATGAGTGACCTGATATAAAAATAACTTTAGAATTTTTGGGGGGCTAAACAATATCTAAATGCTAATGATAAATGTTATAAATAAATAATCTAGTGACCAAAGTGTAGAAATACAGCATTTGAGTACATTTAAATTTAGTCACTAAAAATGATCTAGTTAAATAATTACAGAAGCAGCAATGAGTGGCCCGATATAAAAATACCTTTGTAATTTTTTGGGGGGTAAATGCTAATTATAAATATTATATATAAATAATTAAGTGATCCAAGTTTATAAATACAGTATTTGAGTACATTTAAATTCATGCAAATAAAAATGATCAGGTTAAATAATTAAAATAACTCTAGATGCAGCAATAAGTGACCTGATATAAAAATAACTCTTTTTTTTTGGAAAAAAAAATATTGAAATACATTTATAACAGTATTTTTTAAATAAAACTTGTCTATGTGTCAATAACATTTAGTTCTTGTCATGTACAAAAAAAAAAATACTTTGATACTTATAAAGTGGGTGGGGGGAAGAGACAGAGGAAGAGGGATGTGAAAAAATAAGAAGTAGGAAACAATAGAAATCAATTTGCCGCTATTTTAATGCTGCAATATTTGTTTTTCCATAGCTGAAATCCTCTGAACATTATTTTTCCATCTTAGAAGGATACAGAAAGGTTGGTACATTTCCTAAATCAATTTTACCATTTTTTGTCTCGTGTAATTAAAATAATGAATAAATTACAATTTCTTTACCTGCATACAATAATGACATCACAAATGTTTTAACAACAGTCATAGAATAAGGAGGTAGTATATTATTAATTAAAATGTTATTCCCTTTAACGCTACATTGGAGTAACAATGACTTGATGAAATGGTATCGCGATTTAGGTTCTAAAAGCCTAAAAGATAACTTTTGAAATATTATGGCATGCTATGGGCCCTGAGCAGCCTGAATAAACAATGATAAATCCAGGTAGAGCCATATTGTTTGGCTAACACATTTGCATGCAAATAATGTATAAACTGTGGGGACTCCCCTTTTGCAATTGTTTTGAAAGCAATTAATAATGACTAGAGCAATTGCTTTGAGATGAAGTCTAAAGAGACAAGGGGCCCATTAATGATTTTTGCAATGGGGCCCAAATACACTTAATTATGGTCCTGTTAGAAGCTGAAGCTTTTATTTCCTCCATACAGAAAACCATCAGCCATGGGTGACGGTGAGATGGCTGTGTTTGGGCAAGCCGCCCAGTTCCTCCGAAAATCAGAAAAGGAGAGAATTGAGGCTCAGAACCGGCCCTTTGATGCCAAAACAAATGTCTTTGTGATTGACCCCAAGACAATGTACGTGAAAGGTTTGGTCACTGGCAGAGAAGGGGGAAAGGTCACTGTAAAGAAAGAAGACATGTCCGTAAGTTGGAAAAGTTATCATTCTGGTTCTGTTTTATATCATTTGTAATAAATACACTCAGTTGTGTTTTTTTTGACACCCATGCTTTTCTGTAGTCCGCAACGGTGAAGGAAGATGAAATTTTCCCCATGAACCCTCCAAAGTACGATAAGATTGAAGACATGGCCATGATGACCCACTTGAACGAACCATCTGTCCTGTATAACCTCAAAGAGCGTTATGCAGCCTGGATGATCTACGTAAGTCTCCTCAGCCAGCTCGGTCTTCTGGATTTCACTCCATGACAAATTCCTGGTGTCTCTAAGTATTTCTGTGATCTCTGCAGACCTACTCCGGCCTTTTCTGTGCCACAGTTAACCCCTACAAGTGGTTGCCTGTGTACAACCCAGAGGTTGTTGCTGCCTACAGAGGAAAGAAGCGTCAGGAAGCTCCACCACACATCTTCTCCATCTCTGATAATGCCTATCAGTATATGTTGACTGGTGAGTACCGGGGTTTACTTGCTAACAGATAACACTAGATTTATATAGAATACTTCTTGGAAGCGTGGCCAGAATTGTAAGCCTCTCGTTAAGATGATTCCTACTTAATTTTTCTCCAAGTAGATAGAAAACAAAATGCTTTATTTCAGCCTTTCTCAACCTTCTTACCCCAGAGGAACCTTTGTAATTATCACCTGGTCTCAGGGAAACCCTGCTAAAATGAATTAATCAGGGTGATTTGGAAGCGTGTCCCTTGTACTGGTGGTAGTGGTCTACTAGTGGTTGTGGTAATAATGCTCATTAAGATGTTTCCTACTTAATTTTTCTACAAGTAGCTAAAAAAAAAATATTCTATTTCAGCCTTTCTCAACCTTCTTACCCCAGAGGAACCTTTGCAATTATCACCAGGTCTCAGGGAAACCCTGCTAAAATTAATTAATCAGGGTGATTTTGAAGCGTGTCCCTTGTACTGGTGGTAGTGGTCTGCTAGTGGTTGTGGTAATAATGCTCATTAAGATGTTTCCTACTTAATTTTTCTCTAAGTAGATAGACAACAAAATGATCTATTTCAGCCTTTCTCAACCTTCTTACCCCAGAGGAACTTTTGCAATTATCACCCGGTCTCAGGGAAATCCTGCTAAAATGAATTAATTAGGGTGATTTGGAAGCTTGTCCCTTTTACTGGTGGTAGTGGTCTGCTAGTGGTTGTGGTAATAATGCTCCCCTTACAGTGGTAATCAGTATGCCACCCTTACAGACAGCTAAAAAGACCATTGGTGTTATGCTGATGGCTCTGCCAAATGCTAATGGACTTGGAATTAAGTAGACTTCAACAGATGAGAGGTCAATCAGCCATAGCTGAAGAAACTGGCAACCTCTGGAGAAACCCTAGGGTGCCATGGAGCCCTGGTTGAGAATGGCTGCTCTAGATCTTTAACTCAAATCATTATATAGAACTTTTTAAAGGGCTACAGTTTTTCAATGCAAACACGAGAAAAAGAAAAGTACGATATGTAGAAGAAAAGTGGCAAATTCACATTAGTGAGCTCTCACATAGTTTAACATGCTATATTTACATATAATGGATTTGTAATATTTCCTTTCACCCTGTTTCATGTTAACAGATCGTGAAAACCAGTCTGTTCTGATTACGTAAGTGAAAAATAAATAATTGAATCTCTGTCTGTGTCATTTCAAGAAAGAGATGTGGCTTTATGTTGTAGACATGAGTTGGGCAAGAGATGACCATTTTTTAATTCGTTTTTTTACCTCTTATGACCCACAGTGGAGAATCTGGTGCCGGAAAGACTGTCAACACGAAACGTGTCATCCAGTATTTTGCAACAATTGCTGTTGTTGGTGACAAAAAGAAGGAGGAGCCGCAACAAGCTGGAAAAATTCAGGTCTGTAGCTTCCTTTTGGTCTTCTAAGCATTAAAAATGTTGGAAATATATGGATCAAACCGTAAAACTAGTTTGTTTTAAACCTGTGCAGGGGACTCTGGAGGATCAAATCATCCAGGCTAACCCACTGCTGGAGGCCTTTGGCAATGCTAAGACTGTGAGGAATGACAACTCTTCCCGTTTTGTAAGTTGGCCCTAAAGTAGCCTTATACTTCTCCTTTTGCATTTTGACGTACATTCACCTCCTATTGTATACCTTAAAGAAAACAAAATGCCAGCTGATTGGTATTTCTTGTACTTGTCTAGGGTAAATTCATCAGAATCCACTTTGGGACCACAGGAAAACTGGCCTCCGCTGATATTGAGACATGTAAGTTTTGGAGGGGGGACAATTTATTTGTAAAACGGACAGTCAAATTCTAAATAAAAAATAATGGGAGTCAGGAGATCAACAGAAACAGGTCAATGTTGGTATCTCCACCAAGCAGTTTTCTGTTTCTCTCCATATAACGCCAGATTGGTCATACAGGCTCTAATGTAAACAATGTACTGGCCAAAATCTAAGGCTAATCTCTAATGCTTTACTGCTTAAAGACTTATGATGGATCCACCCTGGAGGGGTTTTGTGTCGTTTTCCAGACTGAAGGAAACTTTTAAATCATGGCTCAAACACATATGGACTCTCTTTTACCTATCTAGTAGAAGACATAAACTTGGGAATATTACCTGTATGGGAATATGCTCACTGTTTAGGGTAAAACAGGCAGTCAAACTCTACATAAGAAAAACAAATGGGAGTCAGGAGATCAACAGAAACAGGTCAATGTTGGTATCTCCACCAAGCAGTTTTCTGTTCTCTCCATGCCACGCCAGATTGGTCATACCAGCTCTAATGTAAACAATATACTGGCCAAAATCTAAGGCTAATCTCTAATCCCTGGATCCACCCTGGAGGGGTTTTATGTCATTTTCCAGGCTGGAGAAAACTTTTAAAATCATAGCTCAAGCACATGTGGACTCTCTTTTACCTATCTAGTAGAAGACATAAACTTGGGAATATTACCTGTATGGGAATATGCTCACTGTTTAGGTGGCAGGATGAGGAAGTATATCTGAAATATTTTGCCAGCCTTCTGACAGGTTGCACATAATGCTCACTTAGTCTTTTTACCCAAATTCTAAACAGCATAATTACAGGAAGTGGAAAGACTTGGCAATTATCACGGTTGTGGTACATGGCTGACCAAAGTTAGGGAAAACTCTTTCAAATATACATGCCGTTTGACAGTCTTACCTTATGTGAGCCGTTGATTATTGATTATTCTAGATCTACTGGAAAAATCCAGAGTTACATTCCAGTTGTCTGCTGAGAGGAGCTACCACATTTTCTACCAGATCATGTCCAACAAAAGGCCAGAACTGATTGGTAAGTGATGCTGAGGAAGATGTGTTTATCAACCTCTTTATGTAAAAACATAAAAGTCATGAAATAAAACTCTGCTTCTGTGGAGTGCTAGACTAAATTATGCCTCTGCTTCCTATATCTCCTGGGGGCTCTTGTGAGGAGATCTCTTGGTTCTGCTATGAAGCCTCATTCCTGCTGCTACTTTTTTCATAACATAAGTATCCAACAAGGGGAGAGGATGTATTGTCCAAAGCAGCTTGGCAGATCTAGGAACCCAAGTGCAAAGATTTCACTGCAACCAACAATGAGAAGATGTGTAATGCAACCCAAAGTTGTATATGAATTTTGGAAGGACTGGTCTTATAAAAACAGTTAATGTGAGGGATCAGATCTTAAGGGCAATGCTAGCAGTAAGGAGAAGTAAGAAATATGGAGGATGTGTACAAATAAGCAGCAGAAAATTTTGGCAAGGAATAGAAAATTGTCACTGAATTAGTGACTTGTGATCGGGGATGTAAACCTTTGAAACTTTAAGATGGACCTAAAATCATACTAAGAAAGAAACCTGGGTTTTCAGGGTTGGTTATTAGGTAAAAACGACCAAATGTCTGCATCAACAAAAACCCATGCATTCCTTCTTTCTTCCAGAAATGCTTCTGATTACCACCAATCCCTATGACTTCCCCTATATCAGCCAAGGTGAGATCACCGTGGCCAGCATTGATGATCAAGAAGAATTAATGGCCACCGATGTAAGTGGACTCACTCCCTGAAACATTAAACTTATAAACACATCAATTTACCTAATGCGGTGTATATATTAATGTATTACAGTCAGGGAGAAGTTTAATCCACTGAGTTTATGTTTAACAGAGTGCCATTGACATCTTGGGCTTCAACCCAGACGAGAAGATCGGTATTTACAAATTGACTGGTTCTGTGATGCACGCTGGTAACATGAAGTTCAAGCAGAAGCAAAGAGAGGAGCAGGCTGAGCCCGATGGCACAGAAGGTAAGAAATAAAGCAGTCATTTCAAAAAAAGTCAGCAGCTACAAATACTGCAGCTGCTGACTTGTTTTTTTAAAAAAGAGACATTTACCAGTCCAGGCATGCAGAGCTGTCCTTATCCTGGTCAGTTTTCTCCAATTTTTTGTTGCAGGTATGTTGACTGTGGAAAGCCATCTGTAACTCCCTGTGGCTTCACAACCATCTACTCACTGCATTCTGTGAATGGCCCCGCAGCTTTCTGGGACCTGTGAGATGTCCCAGGAGGTTGCGGGTAGTGAAGGGGGGTGGGGGAGAAGTAGTAGCAGATACCTACCAAAACCAGGTACCTGCTCCATAAAAAAAGTGTTTTCATTAAACACACAGATGGGAGAGAAGAGGAGAATCATTAAACTTCTGATTTTAAGTGAAGTTCCACTTTAAGGTCCTTCTCAGCATAGATGTTAAAATATTAATTTCTTAGCACTAAAAAAACTCTTACTGAGTTTCATCAGTCTGTACTAAGGTGGGTTTATTTAGTAATGTAACAAAAAAGACAGAGATCTATTACTTATGATGATAATTTGCTCTTTGAACCTAATCTCTATCGTTTTAATTGCATTATTCAAGACATTAAAACGAATATTGTTATTCTTCAGTGGCTGACAAGGCTTCCTATCTAATGGGCCTCAACTCAGCTGATCTCCTGAAAGCTCTGTGCTACCCCAGGGTCAAAGTCGGAAATGAATTTGTCACCAAAGGTCAAACTGTCCAGCAGGTAAACTTCACATGTTTTCTAGCATGTTTTTTTGTTTTGTTTTTGAAATTGATAAAACAGAAGCCTCATTGTCATCCTTGATCTTTAGGTATACAACTCTGTTGGTGCCCTGGCCAAGTCCGTCTTTGAGAAGATGTTCTTGTGGATGGTCATTCGTATTAACCAGCAGCTGGACACCAAGCAGTCAAGGCAGCACTTCATTGGTGTCTTGGATATTGCCGGCTTTGAGATCTTTGATGTAAGTAACGTGACTTGGTTCATGAATGTCCTGTCATGTATTTGTCCTCATTGGATGAAGTTAACTCATTATATTGTATTCTTTTGAACAGTTCAACAGCTTGGAGCAGCTTTGTATCAACTTCACCAATGAGAAACTGCAACAGTTCTTTAACCACCACATGTTTGTGCTGGAACAAGAAGAGTACAAGAAGGAAGGCATTGACTGGGAGTTCATTGACTTTGGCATGGACTTGGCTGCCTGCATTGAGCTTATTGAAAAGGTATATAATATGAAAACTGGCATCTGGCAGTAACCTTACATATTTTGAGCACTAACATCATTAGTATTATACTTTGCAATACCAAGTTTCTTAAGAATTACTCTTTTGTATACAGCCTATGGGTATCTTCTCCATCCTTGAAGAGGAGTGCATGTTCCCCAAGGCCACAGACACTTCCTTCACCAACAAGCTGTATGACCAACATTTGGGCAAGTCCAACAACTTCCAAAAACCCAAACCTGGCAAAGGCAAAGCTGATGCTCACTTCTCCCTGGTCCACTATGCTGGAACTGTGGATTACAACATCAGTGGCTGGCTGGACAAGAATAAGGACCCACTGAATGAGACTGTCATTGGCCTCTACCAGAAGTCTTCAATGAAACTCTTATCCTTCCTGTATTCTGCCTATTCTGGTGCTGAAGCAGGTATTGCATTGTTTCATCACCTGCTCAAATCAATAATATGTTAATCACTATATGGCATCCCAGTCAGTCACTTTATATATTGACTTAATTTTTTTGTTTTGTTTTACAGATACCGGAGGCAAGAAGGGTGGCAAGAAGAAGGGTTCCTCTTTCCAGACTGTGTCTGCTCTTTTCAGGGTAAACATTTAAACATTTTTTTATGAAATAGAATACCAATAGTTTAGGGCACCTTTAATGATACAATTATCACTGCCCACTTACAGGAAAATCTGAACAAATTGATGTCAAACTTGAGGAGCACTCACCCTCACTTTGTGCGTTGCTTGATCCCCAATGAAACCAAGACCCCAGGTCAGCTGAACAAAATTATTTTGTTTGATAGGGAACATAATTCTTGGTAAAATACGACTCATCACTTTTTTTTATTATCACTTTATTATTATATTTTTAAAATTATCACTTGTGTATGCACCAGCTTACAATTTGAAATCTGTTAAAATAAAAAGTACACATTTTAACCTTTAACAATCAAAAATTGTTGTTATCTTTAGGTATTATGGATCATTATTTGGTCATGCACCAGCTCAGGTGTAATGGTGTGCTGGAGGGCATCAGAATCTGCAGGAAAGGTTTCCCCAGCAGAATCCTCTACGGTGACTTCAAGCAACGGTATGGGCCACACATGACACTGGGGGGGGGAGATTTACTAAAATTGAAGCATGCATGCAATATCTGATGCAGCTCTGTATAGAAAACAATCAGGTTCCAGGTTTATTGCCAAAGTTTATTTGAACAAGCTGAAGTTAGAAGTTGATTTGCTACCATGTACAGCTGCATCGGATTCTGATTCAGTTTTAGTAAATATCCCTCTAAGTGCACATATGGAATTAACATACCATAGCAATAATGTGAATAAAATTAAAGAAGTTCTGTAGGTTTAATTTCCTAAAGTGTTACTCTTTGTAATACAGTTACAAGGTCCTGAATGCAAGTGCCATCCCAGAAGGCCAGTTTATTGACAGCAAAAAGGCTTCTGAGAAGCTTCTTGGATCTATTGATGTTGACCACACACAGTACAAATTTGGACACACTAAGGTATTTTCACAGTTTGTGCAGTTTTAGATAATCAAATAGTACAAGCAAAACAATACAACATAATTTTATTTGACTTGATGTATAGGTGTTCTTTAAAGCTGGTCTGCTGGGTGTCCTTGAGGAGATGCGAGATGAAAAGTTGGCACAATTGATCACTCGTACTCAGGCCATTTGCAGGGGATATCTCATGAGGGTCGAGTTCAAGAGAATGATGGAAAGGAGGTATTTCCAATTTCTTTGTTCTTAGCTTAATCAATTTTTGAACTAGAAATGCCAGATCTGACCACTAAATTTTTTTCCAGAGAGTCCATCTTCTGCATCCAGTACAATGTCCGCTCCTTCATGAATGTCAAGCATTGGCCGTGGATGAAACTCTACTTCAAGATCAAGCCTCTGCTGAAAAGCGCTGAATCTGAGAAGGAAATGGCCAACATGAAGGAGGAGTTTGAGAAGACAAAGGAGGCTCTGGCCAAATCAGAGGCAAAGAAGAAAGAGCTTGAAGAGAAAATGGTAGCCATCCTGCAAGAGAAGAATGACCTGCAGCTCCAAGTTGCATCTGTAAGTGTTTACTCATTTATAATTAACACACCAGAGCAAACACACAAAAAAACTTGCATGATACACAATCTAAGAATTAGCAATATACTGTATACCTATAATTAAATGTACTTCCCAGGAATCTGAGGGCCTAGCAGATGCAGAGGAAAGATGTGAGGGTCTCATCAAAGCCAAAATTCAACTGGAGGCCAAAATCAAAGAAGTCAATGAGAGGCTGGAAGATGAAGAAGAATCAAACGCAGAGCTGACAGCCAAAAAGAGGAAACTTGAAGATGAATGTTCTGAACTGAAAAAGGACATTGATGATCTTGAGTTGACTTTGGCCAAAGTAGAGAAAGAGAAGCATGCTACAGAAAACAAGGTATTTCCAATTTCTACTTGGTTCTCTTCTACATCAGCAGTTAATTGTTACCCAACTATGTTATTTTCAGTTAATGTTTTTGGGTAATCACACTTAAATATCATTTTAAATGTAGGTCAAGAACCTCACTGAAGAAATGGCTGTTCTTGATGAGAACATTGCCAAACTTGCTAAAGAAAAGAAAGCACTTCAAGAAGCCCATCAACAAACTCTGGATGATCTGCAAGCAGAAGAGGACAAGGTCAACACTCTGACCAAGGCCAAGACCAAGCTGGAGCAGCAAGTAGACGATGTATGTGGAAGTATAAAAATATATAATGGTATCTACAAGTTATATAAAAATGACACAAGTTTGAACAAGTTTTCTTTTCTTGCAGTTGGAGGGATCTCTTGAACAAGAGAAGAAGCTCCGCATGGACATGGAGAGAGCAAAGAGGAAGCTAGAGGGTGATCTGAAGTTGGCTCAGGAATCAACAATGGACCTGGAAAATGACAAGCAACAGCTGGATGAAAAAGTTAAGAAGTAAGACATTCTAATCAGATATTTAGGGAACCGGTTGTCTCATGTCCTCCTATTGTTGATGTTTTGTATGATTTTGATTTAGTTCTGTTTTGTGCACATCTCATGCCTTGAAGTTTCATATAAGTCTATCTTTTAACTTGACAGGAAGGAATTTGAAACCAGCCAGCTCCAGAGTAAAATTGAAGATGAGCAGGCCTTGGCTGCACAATTGCAGAAAAAAATCAAAGAGCTTCAGGTAGGTTTTTCCAACAAACATGACAACAACTTCATGTTTTTCTTATCAACTGTTTTAAAAAAAAATGTCAATTTGTGTGAACTTTAGGCCCGCATTGAGGAACTTGAGGAAGAAATAGAGGCAGAGCGTGCAGCTCGTGCCAAGGCTGAGAAACAACGTGCAGACCTTTCCAGAGAGCTTGAAGAGATCAGTGAGCGTCTAGAGGAAGCTGGTGGGGCAACATCTGCTCAGGTTGAACTGAACAAGAAACGTGAAGCAGAATTCCAGAAAATGAGACGGGACCTTGAGGAAGCCACCTTGCAACATGAAGCTACCGCTTCAGCACTTAGGAAGAAGCATGCTGATAGTGTAGCTGAACTTGGAGAACAAATAGACAACCTTCAAAGAGTCAAACAGAAGCTGGAGAAAGAGAAGAGTGAGCTGAAGATGGAGATTGATGACCTTGCCAGCAACATGGAGTCTGTCTCCAAGACCAAGGTACTGTAAATAAAATACTAACTCGGCTGTTTTTGCCATCCAATGCAATCCTGAATACTGGAAATAATGGCTTTGGTTTATCTTGTAGTCCAACTTAGAGAAGATGTGCAGAACTCTTGAGGACCAATATAGTGAAGTTAAAACCAAAGAAGATGAGCATCACAGAGTAATTAATGACTTGAATGCTCAGAGAGCACGTCTTCACACAGAAAATGGTAATTTTTGAATGTAAAGAGTAAAAAAGCTGACACATAACAAATTCACAAAATATGCTTAACTATACCATTATTCTTATGAAATAGGTGAATTTGGCCGTCAGCTGGAGGAAAAAGAATCTCTTATCTCTCAGCTCTCCAGAGGAAAACAAGCCTTCACCCAACAAACTGAGGAGCTGAAGAGGCAGCTTGAGGAAGAAACCAAGGTACATTGATCATACACAATAAATACATTGTGAAACTCTATATTAAGCATATGCTTTTGCATATTAAAAATGAATGATAAAGGCCAGAAATCAACTAAGACTTACTATTCATGTGACATATTTCTTATGTCCGGTGTCTTTCTTTCAGAAAGTAAATTTGTTTTTAAGACAGTTCATTAAAATTGTTAGCAATAGTACCTTTAGGAGTTCCTTAGAAATAACCAACAAATACAATATTATTTAATTATCAAGGTAAGCCTTCCCTACCTCCATTCATCATTAAATTAGGTCAGCCTGTGTTGCAGATCTACACAGAAACTTTCATGGTAGCAATTGCTTAGTGTCTTTGTCAGGCTTCTCTCAGGTCTCATGTTAACTCCAAACACAATCAGTAATGATGTTCCCACATAGAAGCCCACATGGTATAGTGTCCTTATATGGGCTCCTTGGAAATTAGAACAGCATTTCTGTCTCTGACAAGACTGTGAGAAGGCAACCTTAATAGTTAACCTACCATTGGACCTTAACCTAATCCTACCATTAATCTTAACCTTTACCCAACACAAACCTAACCAATAAATACCTACATTGTTGGCATGTGAAAATATCTCACAGCACAGATATCTGGGTGAAATTGGTAGATATAGGCAGGGCATAGCACTGGAGGTGAGTATTATGTTGGTTCATACCAGGCTGGTATTTATTATCCAATTATACCTAGAAGCAGGCTGCAAATCTGAACTTTAATTCAGAAAAACATGAAGTCTTTGAATGCAGATTATTATTATTATACAGGATTTATATTATGAATTGTGTATGTCGTGCTTGTAAAAAATGCTAAACTTTACATACTTGTCACTAATTTCATAACTTTCTTTGACAGCTCTTTTTAATGCCATAATAGAAGACTGTTTGTCTTACATTTATGAAATGTCCCTTTACCTTCAAGGCCAAGAATGCCCTCGCTCATGCACTTCAGTCTGCCCGCCACGACTGTGACCTTCTCAGAGAGCAATATGAAGAGGAACAGGAAGCCAAGGGTGAACTTCAGCGTTCACTGTCCAAGGCCAACAGTGAGGTTTCTCAATGGAGGACAAAATATGAAACAGACGCCATTCAGCGCACAGAGGAACTGGAAGAGGCCAAGTAAGATTCTGTCAAGTCTTAAAAAATAAGTGGTGTTAAGGCTTTTGAATGATAGCCTTCAACATGAATTGAATTAGAGTTCAAGTTATTCAAGTTTCCACCAGTGGAAGATTATATTTGTTTCAAATAATATGATGGTGAAATCCTGACATCCAGAGATAAGCAATTTATCTTTGTAATGTCTCATTTTTCTGAGCATTCATATATAATCTCTTGCATAACAGGAAGAAACTGGCCCAGCGTCTTCAGGAGGCTGAAGAACAAATTGAGGCTGTCAACTCTAAATGTGCTTCTCTAGACAAGACCAAACAGAGACTACAAGGTGAAGTAGAGGATCTCATGGTGGATGTAGAACGTTCCAACTCAGCATGTGCTGCTCTGGATAAGAAACAAAGGAACTTTGACAAGGTGTGCTAAAAAAAAAAAAGAAGCAAGTGTAGATTTTGATGTAAGTGTAGTGGTTTGAACCTATGAAATAATATTATTATTTTGCATTAAATAGGTCCTGGCTGAATGGAAGCAGAAATATGAAGAGGCCCAGGCTGAACTTGAAGCTTCTCAAAAGGAATCTAGAGGTCTCAGCACAGAAGTTTTCAAGATGAAGAACTCCTATGAGGAGGCACTCGACCAGCTTGAGACACTGAAGAGGGAAAACAAGAACCTCCAACGTATGTCCATCTTTAAATTTAATGTAGGCAGGAGCAAAGAAATCTGCAATTTTAGTACATAAGTAATGAATAAAGCAACTTTCTTTGTAATTATGGCCACCAGCACTGTATTGGTTTTGTCATATTTTTGTTTTAGGGCACAAAAGTAGGGTTTGAAGGTTCTTTAATCTTGACAATGGCAAAATATGTTCTTTTCTTACAATTGTAGAGGAGATCTCAGACCTGACAGAACAAGTTGCCGAGTCTGGAAAGAGCATCCATGAGATTGAGAAAGCCAAGAAACAGGTTGAGCAGGAAAAAGCTGACCTGCAATCAGCACTGGAAGAAGCTGAGGTAGGCAGACACTGTTATTCTTTAAAACCCATTGACATTTTGTGGTCCATGTATAAAATGTTTGCTGTACAAGCAGTCAAAATAAAAAAAATTGCCTAATTTTCTTTAATATGTGTAGTTGCTACATCATCATGTGCCCATAATGCATTTCAGAAAAAAAACACATAATGGAAACTTTACATAGAAGACTAATTCTCCATATTTACAAAATTTGTAACTTTTAGGGATCCCTGGAACATGAAGAAGCCAAGATCCTTCGTGTACAGCTTGAACTGAACCAGGTGAAGTCTGAGGTTGACAGAAAGGTGGCTGAGAAGGATGAAGAGATTGAACAGCTCAAGAGAAATAGCCAGAGGGCCCTGGAGTCCATGCAGAGTTCTCTAGATGCTGAGATCAGAAGCAGGAATGATGCCCTGAGACTGAAAAAGAAGATGGAGGGAGATCTCAATGAGATGGAGATCCAACTGAGCCATGCCAACAGACAGGCAGCTGAAGCTCAGAAACAGCTCAGGAATGTCCAGGGACAACTTAAGGTATAAAATAATTATCTTAATTAAAGTAGAACTATTGGCAAACCTTTTTTTTCATTTTTGCTAGAGTAAGAGAGGGTTATAACCCCTGTAGGTTTATTTTTTGCCATCTGTACTCCATTGGGGAGATTTTCCTTCACTTCCTGTCCCATAGCCATACAGGAAGTGAGAGGAAATCCCAGCAAATTAAGGAAATCCCTTGGGGATCCCCAGGTCACCAGAACCAGTGCCCCCATTGGATTTACTTTCTATTACTTTTCTGAGGACAACCCAAATTTGGGATTTTCTTTTACTTTAAGTTTCAATGACAATGATAAGCAGGAGAAATAGAGAATGAATCTCCCTAACGGGGGAACAAATAGCACTAAACCCTAATAGGTGTTCTAATCCCTCTCCACGCTATCCAAAACTAAAGAAAATGTTTTGCCTTTAGTTTTACTTTAATTCTTATCTTTTTAATGGCCTTACAAAAATATCATAATCAACAACACTGTGTTCCTTCAATTTAGGATGCCCAACTGCATCTTGATGATGCTGTTAGAGGAAACGATGACCTTAAGGAACAGTTGGCTATTGTGGAGAGGAGAAACAATCTCATGCAAGTAGAAATTGAAGAGATGAGGTCCGCCCTGGAACAGACAGAGCGTGGTCGCAAAGTGGCTGAGCAAGAGCTGCTCGATGTCACAGAACGTGTCCAACTTCTACATTCACAGGTAAGGATGAGGGCCCATTCCTTACCAGGGGTAGACTGACAACTCATGGGGCCCCTGGGCAATAGGGGATCATGGGGCCCCTGTGTCCTTGCCCAAACTCAAAAAAGCCTATGAAAAAGGTACCAGGGGTATCTCATGGGGCCCCCTACGGACCCCGGGCCCTCGGGCAGTGCCCGAGTTTCCATATGGTCAGTCCGCCCCTGTTCCTTACAAATCCAAATAAAACAATAAGAGGAAAAATGACAACTTTTGGGTATCTTTATTCAACAGAACACCAGTCTGATCAACACCAAGAAGAAGATTGAGTCTGATATTTCTCAGCTCCAAAGTGAAGTAGAGGAAGCTGTCCAAGAAGCCAGGAATGCAGATGAGAAAGCTAAGAAGGCAATCACAGATGTAAGTCCCAATCACACCCATAAATAGTATGGTATTGAAATAGATGTCTCACATGACCATTTGCAGCTTCTCGTTCAAATGTTTACATATTCAAAACAATCTGTCAACATAACTTTCACAAACTATGTATTGGAAGATGTTTTGGTCGTTCGAAGATGTAGAAGATATTTGTAAATGTGCTTGCTCTTTTATTGTATAGGCTGCCATGATGGCTGAAGAGCTGAAGAAGGAGCAGGACACCAGTGCTCACCTTGAGAGGATGAAGAAGAACCTTGAACAGACTGTGAAGGATCTTCAACATCGCCTGGATGAGGCAGAGCAACTGGCAATGAAAGGTGGCAAGAAGCAATTGCAGAAACTGGAGAGCAGGGTAAGCAGTCTTTGATATATTTGTAGTATTTAACAATGAATATGTATTTAACATGTTTTTCATAAAACAGTGATATAATTTTCTTTTTTAGGTGCGTGAACTTGAAAATGAGCTTGAAGCTGAACAAAAACGAGGCTCTGATGCCATTAAGGGTGTACGCAAGTATGAGAGGCGAGTCAAGGAACTGTCTTACCAGGTATATAACATGTAACAAGTTTCTTAAAGATGAAACATTCTGTTTGAACCTTTCATCCTATATCTTACATTGATTCTCTACTTAACAGTCTGAGGAGGACAAGAAGAATGTGTTCAGGCTTCAGGACCTGGTAGACAAATTGCAGCTGAAAGTCAAAGCTTATAAGAGACAGGCTGAGGAATCTGTAAGTACAATTATTTTGGGGTGGAATGTTAATTCAGACTTTAAGAGTCTGTAGTTTCCTTTTAAATAATTCATCTCCTCACATCACATCACTTTCCTTGCAGGAGGAACAAGCCAATGTACATTTGTCTAGGTTTAGGAAAACCCAGCATGAGTTGGAAGAGGCTGAGGAGCGTGCTGACATTGCTGAGTCCCAGGTCAACAAAATGAGAGCCAAGAGCCGGGACATTGGCAAGGCAAGTAGAGTTGTCTTCTAGAGGATCATTATTTACCATAACTTATACAATGTCAAAGTACACTGCAATATAACTCCAAAATCCAAATTATGAGTGTCTGAGGTGTAGACTAAACGTTTTTGTCATTATGTTTGTATCCATAACATGGTATTTTTTCCTTTTTATTTTGCAGAAGGCAGAAGAGTAAAGAAACGGACCGAAAAGAAGATATTTACAAAGGATGTTCATAAAATATGAGCTGTGTTTGTAAATACGAACCCCACTTTTTAGTATCCTTAGGCTCTAGATGCAAATAAATAGTCAGTCAATATCTGAATGTCTCTGTTCATTTTTTTTGGGAATCATTAAAGAAATAAGGTGTGTTTGTGTGTAATCATGTGAGATGGCCACCTTTTTCTGGACTGATAAAAAATAAGACTGAGACATAATGGTTACTGACATGCACATTCAAATACACACATACACAGACACACACACACACACACACACACAGACACCCATACATTCAAATACACACATACACAGACACACACACAGACACCCATACATTCAAATACACACATACACAGACACACACACAGACACCCATACATTCAAATACACACATACACAGATACACACACAGACACCCATACATTCAAATACACACATACACAGATACACACACAGACACCCATACATTCAAATACACACATTCAAATACACACACACACACCCATACATTCAAATACACACACAAAACACACACACACACCCATACATTCAAATACACACACATTCAAATACACACACACACACACACACCCATACATTCAAATACACACATTCAAAACACACACACACACACACACACCCCATACATTCAAACACACACACACACACACACACACACCCATACATTCAAATACACACATTCAACAAACACACACACACACACACCCACAACATTCAAATACACACATTCATACACACACACACACACACACCCCCCACCCATACATTCAAATACACACATTCAAATACACACACACACACACCCCCCCACCCATACATTCAAATACACACATTCAAATACACACACACACACACACCCATACATTCAAATACACGCACACATACATGAAAACTTATGAACACTTATACACACAGACACCCATACATTCAAACAAACACACTCAAATACACACACACCCATACATTCAAATACACACACACACACACACACACATATAGTGTACATCAACATTTATACACACACGTACACATATGCAGGGCACCCCCCTTTAACGAATATAGAACCAAGTATCATTTTGTCAGGCTAAGTAATTTTTATAATATGTTACTGATAGCAAGAAAGGAAGTAAATTAGATTCCCTTCAGCAAGGAACAATAGATCGCCCAGCAACAATAGACCCTCCCCAGTAACAATAGACCCTCTGAAACAAAATACAACCAACTACAGTAGATCCAACCCAGCAGCTACAGACCTCTGCCAGCAACAAGAGATCTCCCAGTGGCCAGCATCGATAGACCCCCTTTCTCAACAATAGATCCCTCAAAAGATCAATTGACCGTCCCAGCAACATCAAATCCCCCTCCAGCAACATAGGTCCAGGCAATTAATAGATCCCATGCAGCAATAGTCCCCCCCCCCCAGTGACAATAGATCCCCCAGCAGCCAGTCTCAATAGACCTTCTAGCACACCCTATCAACCCTTGCCATACATAGATTCAGTGCTGCATATTCCCCTGAAAAAAAAAAACCCTGCACATATGTATACAATAACACACATACACACACAAACACACCTACCCATGCACACACACAGACACCCATACGTACAAACACACACACATACATGCATACACAATCACACACCTATACACACTTTACATAGACACCTAATGACATCTACATATACACACCCTGGGCATGACCATTGAAACATGCGCACCTCCTGTGCCATCTTGTGTCACATGAGCACCTTCTGGCCCAACCTATGTCACACTAGCACCTTGGGTCTGCCTGTGTCACATGCAGGGGCCTACTGACCATTTGGAAACTCGGGCACTGCCAGAGGGCCCGGGGTCAGTAGGGGGCCCCATGAGATGCCCCTGGTACCTTTTTCATAGGCTTTTTTGAGTTTGGGCAAGGACACAGGGGCCTCATGATCCCCTATTGCCCAGGGGCCCCATGAGTTGTCAGTCCGCCCCTGGTCACATGAGAACTTCCTGGGTCAGACTGTGTCACACAAGATCCTTGGTCAGCAATGCATGTATCACACCACGTCTCTAGGGTTGACCTTTGGCACAACAGTACCCTGGGCCGGCCTGTATCACCCAAGCATCTTCTGAGGTGGACCTCTTGAGCTGGCATGTATCAGCCCAAGAAACCTCAGAAATACCCCTTCAATGTTATATGTGGATATCTGACAACACCTACTATATGGCCAAACTATGTGAACATTCTTGCTGTTTTCAGTTAAGGGAACTGTTAATACTAAAGCATACAAAGACATTTTAGACAATTGTACACATCCAACATTGTAGCAAAAATGCGGAGTAGGCTCTTTTCTGTTCCAGCATGACTCTGCTGACAAAGTAAGCTCCTCAAAAGACACCAGTTTGATGTGGAGGAAATTGATTGTCCTACACAGAGCCCTGACCTCAAACCTACTGAACATCTTTGTGATTAATTGGCACACCAATTGTGAGCCAGGTCTTCTCATCCACCATCAGTACCTGACTTCACAAATGGGCACAAATTCCCACAGACACTCCAAAATTTGTTGTTGAAAGCTTTCTTAAAAGAGTGGAGGATGTTATAGCCACAACGGGGGGCAACTTCATATTATTGCCCATGATTTTGGAAAGTAATGTCCAACAAACTCATATCGGTGTGTGTGATGGTCAGAGGTGACCTTTAGCCATACATTCTGTGTTATTGAAGGAAAAGACTGCAATGACATTACAACAGAAAAATCATTTTGAAGAAAGGTTTACAGCGCATCCAGAAAGTATTCACAGAGCTTAACTTTTGCCACATTTTTTTATGTTACAGCCTTCTTCCAAAATGGATTACATTAATTTTTTTCCTCAACATTATACAAACAATACCTCATAATGACAACGTGAAAGAAGTTCGTTTTGAAATCTTTGCAATTTATTAACCTCCTTAGCGGTATTCCCAAGTGTAGCTCGGGGTAAAATTTCAGTACCAAGAGCGGTAACCCTGAGCTACACTTGGGCTTACCATGCGGCGCTGCTCTGGGGGTCCCTGTAGCACTTACCTTGTCCTTCGCTCCCGCTATGTGCCCCCTGCAGCGTCCCCGGCCATCTCCTCTGGCTGATACCGGCATCCGGCTCCTGTGTTCCGGTCCCTGTGACGTCGGGACGAACGGGCGCCGGAACCGGCGGCAAATTTGAAATTTTTAAAAAATGTCATTTTTGCTGTCATTGCTGTTTCAATGCATTTCACATACGTTTTGTCCCGAGTGCTTTGTCCTGTGCCCTGCCTGCATTTTCACTGTTCTTTCTGCCTGGAAACTTAGAAAAGTCCATGGCATCCAAAAAGCGTCCCTTTACGTCAAAAGCGGTTTTAGACCGGCTAGAGAACAGCGATAGTAAATCAGAACCACTTGCAGAATTGAGTGATAATGATTCGTGGGGGAAATTCCTCATCAGACACTGAAAACGATTTTGCCACTTTGCTCAGTGATGTGCGAACTTGGCGCTATATTTCAAATTTCAGTGTTTTTGGTTTGATTATATTAATGAATTAAATTTATTATTATATTAATATTTTTTATGATTATTTATTAAATTATAATTTATGATTTCGTGTTTCAAGTTTTATCATATCCGGGATGTTTACTAGACTCTTGTTCGGACAGATTTCAGTGAGTTATTCCTAAAAATTACAGGCCTACAATAAAAAACTACATATTTCCATGCAAAAAAATGGTACCGCTTTCAGCACAAAAAATCAGAAAGAATCATACTGCCGAGGAGGTTAAAAATAAAAAAACTAAAAAAACCCTATGTACATAAGTATTCACAGCCTTTGCTCAATATTTTGTTGAAGCCCCTTTAGCACCAATTACAGCCTCAAGTCGTTTTGAGTATGATGCGACAAGCTCGGCACACCTATTTTTGGCCAATTTCTACCATTCTTCTTTGCAGTACATCTCAAGCTCCATCAAGTTGGATGGGGAGCGTCGGTGCACATCCAGAGATGTTCAATTGGGTTTAAGTCTGGAATCTGGCTGGGCCACTCCAGGACATTCACAATAACCAGAAAAGCCTACAAAAAACAATGTGAACAGAGAATTCACAAAAGAAAAGCGGTTACATAAAGGACAATGCGATACTCAAAAAATGTAATCACAATATGCTCTTATTAGCAAAGTTGCAATATGAGACAATTGAGTAAAGACTGCAAGGTAGCCATCACCTCAATATTAGACAGTACAAAAAGTCTTGTAGTCTCCAGTCTATGTACCAAGGTGACAACACAGGACCACAATCGACAGACAGGGATAGAGCATTGACATCCTATCTCAAGAAATGCCTGAGCACGGACCTTCCTGGCAGGACCAGCAGGGATTATTTTAACAGAAACTGTCAATTTAAAAATATTTAAATGATTTCTGAAATGGCATTAGCATGTTAAAGAGGATATAAGATTTGTGTGTTTGGATTCAGATGAACTTTCATGTTGCTGTGTCCTTCATTCCTCCCCAATGTCAGATTTTATTGGTGGCCATTGGTGATCTGATTACACACGAGGCCCCTATGAGTACAGGGCACTGCAGCCTCTAGAATCATCTGAGCCTAATACAAACGTCCAGTTATGCTCAGTGTATCCTGGTCTGGGATGAGGGGTGGGGGGGGGCAGCTGCCCAGGGTGCAGTGGTTTCATGGCGGGGGGATGATACTCTCTGAACTGATAAAGTTTATGATGAGTAGCACCCGACTTGATCAGTCTGGCAGAGAAAAGGATAAATGCCTTCCATGCCCCATGGGCAGCTCCCCACCCATTGCCACTACCTTATGAGTGACAGTAGGTTCACTTTTCCTGTAACCCTGAGTGGACTTGATTGTCTGGAAGGCAAGGCAAAGCAGGAACAGAGCCCAAGACATGCTCAATGTTGACACCATTGAGCTGCTTGGTTCCTACAGTTTAGT